ATAAACTCAACTTACTAGCCTAAAATCTCCGTAGCGTGTTGCCAGGCGGCAGAAAGCATATATATAATTATAATAAAGTTACAATAAATTAAGTTAATATATAATTATATATACAGTACCTAATTTATATATAATTAATATATAATTATATGTACAGTACCTAATTTATATATAATTTATATATAATACTAAACAGACGATAGCAAACTCAATTTAGCCGCTCCGTAGCGTGGCGCAGGGTCGGAGGAAAGTAGTTCGGCTGCTCATCCACTATTGGTCCACACTCTATCAATCTTGTCGCGAAACGACGTTATAGGAGGTATTTTATACGAAAGTTTCTACAATTTTTTCGCTACGTTATAGGAATTGTCGTTATAGGAACGTACGTTATAGGGGGGTCGACTGTATATACACGATTCTATAAAATTTTATATATTTGTACAGTACATATTTAATGTTAATTCTAGTCAATATTTAAACTGAATTTTGTTTGTTACAATACTTTTTATTGTGTAAATCTATTATGCATTGGCAACGGGATAAATGTCAAGAAATTGTTGCTAAGGCCTTGCATAAACGTTTACCAGGCATGACGCTCCTCATGCCTGCGAACATTTAAACTAAAAATCTAACTTATTGCTTAGGCTCCAAAAACATTATTGAAACATTTCTCAAACAATTCTCGATCAGCAACTAAATATTTACTATAAAACAATCATATCACTTTTATACTTTTCCTGTTTGGACTGCAATTTGAAAAAATTGTAGACTTATAAATTGTCACTGTCGTCCGTCTGTCCTTCCTTAATCTCGAGAACAGAGTTAGATAGATGAAAGACGAGAACAGATATGAAAGGATTGGAGCTGTAGGCCCTGATTATCTATACATAAACCTCCGTTTCGAACAGAAAGTCACGTTATTTCAAATCAAAACGTTCTCCTGAAAGGAGCTAGATCATGCATGGGCAATTATACTGCCCGTCTAATGAATTTATGTGGCCCGCGATTAATTATTCAATATTAGCTACTTAAGTCTGAATATATCGACGAAAAATTCTGACGCCTAAAAAAAGAGGACAACAAGTAACTGTTCGATTAGAGATAACGCTTCATTACAAATGTCTTCAGCAAAGAGTAGAATGTTGATAATACATGATAATGTAAAAAATGTATCTGTAATCTCTATGTACAATTTAGTCTCTACGGGGTGACACGACAATGAGATCTCTCACCACCTCAACGCCGAACCGAACACGGGCCGAACCAGAGACTGCTAGGGCAGCCTCTGGTTCGGCCCGTGAAAAAAGTTTTCTTTCCAATTCGGCCAGGGGGCAAAAACTGTTGGCCACCCCTGAGCTAGATAATGATCTGTACGACTTTATTGCTAACAGAGAAGTATAATGTACAGGGCAATACACTACTATTTTGAGACGGTGAACATATATTTTATTTACATATAAAATCCTTTTTATTATATATGCACTAAGGAAGTCTTTATTAGAATGCATTATGGGTTTGGCGAGGCTCACGAGCATGTAAAGGGTGACAAATGTGACATATCTGGACCAGACGACTCATTAATATTTCTATGGATCTGACGGAGATTCAAATTTTATTTCCTAGAACAGCAGGCACATGGCTGAGCCATCTTCGCCATCCAGTTATTTGCCTTAATTTCAAACTGCTTTACATGCATATTTTAAATTGAATAAAATAAATAAACACGAAAATTAAGACAAAAATTGTCTAGACATTAAAGTGTTTGGCTAACCAAAAAACATATTTATTTATTAAATTCATTAACAAGATTTTTATATTCGAACATCTTTTTCTAAAATTTGTTGTCAATAAAGTAAAATTTTCAATTTTATTAAGTAACAGTGTTAACTGTTATTAAAATTTACTCATTAAAAATTATTAAGAAATAAAATTCCTCATTAATTTCGACCGCACTCGAGATATAACACCTGCTATCTTTCCACCTCTTACGGCCGATTGCAGAGACAGAGTTTACATTAAACGACGTTTATCAACGAACGGCCTATAGCCGTTGGCTGGCTGACCGCAGTTTAAAATGCGTTGCAAAGACGACGATCGTCTATTTCTGACCGTTCTCTAAACGAACTTCGGCAAAACATTGTCTCTTACTTACTTCGCTATTACTCCCCTGTTTTAGAAGTCGTTCGGCCAATCGGGTTATTTCTTCGTGACGTCAGAAATGGTCGTCAGCTATATTCCGAAAGCTTAAGGCCGTCAAAATCATTGTTCGGCAATTAATGACAATCCTTTTCCATTTCGATATTTAATTTCGTCGCCAATACGGTTTAAAATATGAACAAATCCATATTTAGAAAATTTATACCGAATTCGAAATTCATCTTCCGAATAGATTTTTAAGGAATTATTTCGACATCTTATTACTGTCGAAATGAATAATTTTAAATATTTTATTATTAATATTGCATTTTTTATATCTATAAACAGATTTCTGTAATTATTAAAATTGTCTCTTTTGTTTAACAGTACAATGACTGGGAAATGCATTAACGTTTTATAACAGACACGATACTCGAATTGTAAATAAATGCATCTGATTTAAATTAAATTGAAGTTTTAAGTCTTCACCCATTTGAATGTCGAAATTGGAACATTTAAAACAAATTTAAAGTATTTAATTTTGTTGTTTTTGCGCCGAGCAATTAATTAATGAATAATTTTGTCGATTCGTACCGTTTACAACATTTATCGAAGGAACGATATCTGTTTTTATCTAAACTTTTCCACGAACAAAGCTACCACTCGAATTGAAAAGCCCTCTAAACCTGCTGTCCAGTGAGTCTAGAAAGTAGGTCAAATAACTTGTTTCTAATCGCTGTCTACATTGTGGCAAGCGAGAAACGCCATCTCTGCAATGAAATTTTTCTGAACAGCGGTCTACGCGATCTGTAAACCGCCGTCGGCCTCTAAACTTTGACTCTGCAATCGGCCCTTAGAGTTCCGTACTCCAAAAATTAATTGCATCAATGTCATTTATATAGAAGTTTCCACGCCAAATTTCGTTTATTAATCTTTAATATTAAACGAAATAGACTTTAGCACACACATATCTACATACGTACCTACACGCTTACCTTCACATTGCCAGAATTTTTTTTTATTTTACTTGTACAGTATTCAGGGTTTTCAAAACCTCGAGATATGCAAAAAACACAGAGGGGTCAATTGACACAATTACTTTCCCATATTATATTATAAAAGCTGAAAAGTAAAACACGTTGATCTTTTTAATCCCTGAAAACATAAAATATTTTAAAGAATAGTATTTTGTTAGTCTTGTTAAAACTGTTTCTGTTTTGAACATGAAAAACTCGTTTATTGGTGACGTTAACAAAGAGAAATTTTATAAATTTCTATATTTGCCAAACAGTCTGAAGTTTTTATAGAAATTTTCATTGAGTGTTGAACACAAGATTGTGTGAATCTTGTGTTGAACACTCTTGCGAATGAAAATTTCTATAAAAACTTCAGACTGTTGACAATCTTGTGTTCAACACTCAATGAAATCTTTATTCAGTTGACTGAATAAAGATGGAAAAAAGCCAAGTGTTTAATTAATAACACAATCTTGTGTTCAACACTCAATAAATAGTAAAACACGGTTTCAGAAAACAAATAAACTACGAGAAATTTTCATATTGCAGTTGGTCGCTGTTCACCTACACAATAATACTTATAACCTTGAATTTTATTAAATGATTACAATAACATTTAATAAAATTAAGAAATAATTTGTTATTCTATGTTGCACATTATTAGGCTAATATATGTTAATGTGTGGCGTTTTCTTAACTTTACTTATGTTATACTGCTTATGAATAATATTTGAATGTACTGTAACTTTACAGTACATTCGAATATTTATGAACAGTTATTAAGAGCAAAATGATAATGTTTACTTGACGTTTATAGATGTTTAACTAAAGTCGTATGACTTAGGAAACTATTTCTATTTTTGTATTAAATGAGTAATGAAAAATATCATTAAATCGCCTGATTAAATCATTTAAAATTAGAAATAAGTGTATTGTAATTGTCCTTTCTAAACTATTTTTATTGAATTTATTCTTATTCTACAGTTTTCATATACTAACTCTTCGAAAGATTTTAGAAAGTATAAAATTATAAGAACGTATATTTTGCATTTATATGATATATAAACATAACAAGATTTACGGTATATTATACATTATATCATATGAGTAATATTAATATTAAGGCATATGATATATTAAAGTAATAATACCCATATAAATAAAAATGAATATAATATATGTGTATATATACTATATTATATTTTCAAGCAATATGGTAATATTTCTAATAGTATTCTAAATAATATGAATGACTTAATTATGCGAGAAGAAACATGTCGTTGTTTAAAAGATTTATTATATACTTATCTTTTATAATGTGTTTCACTTATAAAATGACACACGAAACATAAACGATATTCCAGTATCAATATATAGCCTATATATAGGGCCTATATTTTGAAAAATATATATACAAAGTTGATTTCTCAATTTATGAGAAATAAATTTCAAAATAAAAAAATAGGAAATTTATGAAACAATGTTCTTTATCAATAGTTATTTCTGTTCTCCTTTTAGTTATTAATGTTTTTTTTTTTTATCTTATTAATTAATTTAGAAAATCATTTACTCATATAATAATGAATTTCTATAATCGCTACTGTAGAATTTAATTTTTAGTATATATTTATTATAATAATATATTTACCTTTGGTAAATATTTTACTTAGTTGCAAGTAAATTGAAATTAATGACTTTCGTAAGCGTCATTATTTCAGTTTGACACAAATTTGATGTCATGCTTTATATAGTTAATACAGCTGTATGTTGAACGTCACGATAGTATTTTCAATAAATAAGTTTCCGCGTGATTAAATACTAATGTTTTAGTTATTTGGTCTTGCAATCATGAACGCTATTAAAGCGCTTATTGTACTAACTTTAAACGTTTTTAGAACTTCAGACGTCATAGAAGAACAGTTAAAAACTGTAGAGAGTGAATACGATTTCATTATAAGTAAGTATATCTATATTTATTATAATTTATTAATTTTATATTACTATATGAACGTCCCCGAGTTAGTTTTAACGACCAAAACTAGAATTTTAAACGAGTATATTAAAAAAAATTGATTTTGAGTGGGAACTGTATGGCAATTAGTGTCAAATGTAGCATTGTAATAGCAATAAACAACGCATCTCAAACTACATGCAATGCAATGCAGCACAGAAAAACCTAACACAAGACACACACAGTGCATTTTATTAACTCTCAATAAAAATCTGCTTCTTGTCCGTCTTATCAATTTAATGTTTATCAAGCTTATATATTGGCTTGTAGTCAGCACACTTTTTCACCTGGACACCAAGAGAATTTTTTGTCTATTCTACTTTATTAAAATATGCATTTCAGACTGTTCTTCTGTCTCTCTTCAGTGTAAAGTAGATGCTTTTTGGGTTACAAGTTATTTTATAACTATATTACATAACAACACAACAAAGAATATAGTTATAAAATATCTATATATAAATTTTTTTAATTTATGTTACTACGTTGTATATGAATATATTCACATTTTTACTCTTATTATATTCTTTTTTATTGATTATATCCAAAACTATTTTTAAAGATAGTTTATATTATATCTATAAATATATTTTTTAATAAAATATTATAACATTGTCTTTTTTGCTACTTAATAAAATTTCATTTTAAAACCTATTCACTTTCTGAAAAAGTATTTTTAATTATAAGAAAACTCCAGAAAGTTTTTCTATAAATACACATATAATAAATATAATATATTCTAAAACCGTACAATTACATCTCTGAATGAGACGGTTGGGACCTTATCGCAGCCGTAGACCATACCCATAGAAACAAACAGGTCATCTGTACATGTGACCCTTCGCGAGATAAAGCTCCCCCCCGAAATTCCCAAAATCACCCACTTCGAGGTCGCACGGGATCGGGAGTCGCGTCGCTCCCCAAGGACTATTCGCGTTTTTCACTAACTAGAGAAGCTGCATTTTTACAAAATGGCTACTTTATCTGGGTCGCTTGTAACTAGTCAACGTAAAATTAATCATATATTACTGTTCGATATATTGATATATGCTGCTTGTAGCTGGTTATCGAGAAATTTTGTAGGAAAACAATTATTGCTAGCAGGATACATCATTACATGTGGTATTATAGAAACAAATGTGCGAGATCGTTCAATACATTTGTACCCTTTGTGTTAAAACAAAGAAAACATTAGCTTTGACATCTGTCCCATCAGGGCAGTATTTACAAGTAAGCTATGTTACCTTTTTGCTTAGGGCCTCGAGTTTCAATGGGCCTCAAAACTTTCTACAAAAAGAAATTGAAGTCAAATTTTGTAATAAAAATTTTTTACAAACCAACAAAATATGCTTTTTAAATACTACACAAAATAAAAAGTAGTTAATATGTTTATGTTAATTTTTTTCTTTTTATGATTGACTTCTAAAAATGTGAAGGGTTGGTAAGGGGCCTTTTGCTTATGGCTTCGAAACGCTTTAATCCGGCCCAGTATCCGTCTCAATTTTTCATAAGGAAATAGACAAAAACTTATATTCGGCTCCTGTATGGCTTTGAAATTGCAATTTGGAACACAACAGAAAACTTTGCTATTTCTATTGCTATTTATTTTTACTGTTGACAATACAAAAGAATGATTCAAACGATCCAGATAAAATAGTTTTGTTTTAAACACCAAAGGGCGAGCATCCGGTGAAAAATGCGAATTACGTTTAACTATTTAGTCCATTGAGTAGCCCACTTACTTGTTCATGGAGTTCTTGATGTTGTATAGTTTTAGGGTGTTTAGAGACTCGGCCCCACGTGGTCGTTGAGGTGTAAATATTTTATTTACAATATTGTTTTAGTTCGAAACATTTTTATACTATTGGTATTGAATACAGCAAAATGCAGATGACCACCATTAAGTACACGTATTTAGGTGACTAATATGTTCTTTGCACAGATTTTTATTCTATAAAATTCATTGTTTTTAATCCTCCTCAAGCCGATCACCCCATTATCCGATCAATAATCACTCCGACTCTTAATCTTTACTACTTCTTAATCTACCTCTCTATTACGAAATATTATTTCAGTGAAATACCTTTGTATAAAATATCCTTTTAGATGCGATCAGTTTCATCACGTTGGATGTAGTTATAAAATCGAAACCATAGAGATATACAGTACAATGTTTATTCTTGTGTTAGGTATAAAAATTCGTCTCTGTTTTTCCAACTTCAATATCTCTATTTTCTTCTACCGTTCTGTCTAATCGTGGAAAATATACGAAATTTGCTTTTAAAATCCGAAACAAGTTACTCTATGCTTTATTTTCACATTTATATTTTTTATTAAACTAAATTAACCATTATTAATTAAACTACCTAATAAACCAATAAAGTCCAGATGACTACGTCAGGTTTGTGTAGATTACGAAATTGATGACGAAAAATTTGGGTATGATTTTGGCGATTTTTGAATTTGTTTGATCTGATAAAAGACCAGTTCGTTGACGTACTAACGAAATATAAAGGCATTATATTAATGTTGTCGAAGAAGTTAAAACAAAGAATGCAAATCTCCATTTCAGATTACTTTAAGACTGTATGCACTGTTGTTTCAAATAGAATGTACAAAATAACATGTGATGTATTAATAAATATCAATACATTTTTTCTAGTATAGTACAAATTGATTTTTACATAATTCTCCTCTATTGTTTACACGATAGTCTGTGTATACGGTAATGCTAAATATATGTGTATAGTATATAATAGAGAGTACTGTTTGACAAGACTGCCCCATTAGATGATCGGTTTTCCTAAGTTTTGGAGATCCTAAAAAGATTTAATTGTGTTTAATGATTACAATAGCTTGTTAAATATTGTAGCAGATTTTTAAAATTAATTTTTTAATTCATTGTGAAAAAATATCAGTACAGTAAGACCCCGCTTAACGCTGATTCAAATTAACGAGGTATTTCATTGATTCGTATATAATACGTTTATTCCCAAACACGAACCAATCAGCAAAAGGTGGCAATTCGTCGTATCGCCAAACAAACATAGATTTAAGGGAAGTACCCTGAAATCTATATGTTTGTTTGGTGCAATTTTGGAAAAAATATAACATCACGGATGTTATAAGTAATATTGGCTTCGCTTGGCAAGAATTAACTAATAAATGCATGAACTGAGTGCGGAAGAAGTTATGGCTGAAGGTATTTAAGAATTCTCATCGAGAAGAGCCTATCGCTGTATCGTTAGATTGACAAAATTGTCAACTTAATCGATATAGGATATGTAGACGAGCAGGATATTGGGGAGTTACTGCAGGTTTCTGGTAAGAGCCTTACCAACGATGACTTCAAGAACTGGCAGAACAAGGAATCCATGTAGAACTGGAAAATAGAGATTCTGAAAACGAAGAACCCAAAAAATTTCTCTACAGATTTTCTTAGTAAAAGTTTGGTAACGATAACCGAAATCGTTGATCAAATTGTAGCGAATGATCTAGATCAGGCCTGACCAACCCAAATTGTTTCGCGGGCCACTTTGATCACGCGTAACATTACGATGGACCACAATTTAGGCAAATATGCTTTTAAAAAAGTAAAACAAATACAAAATAAATAAGATTTTATTGTTATGCTAAGAGTTCGTACTCGCACTTGCGCATTATAACAATAACACATGCATATTTCATTTATTTAATTGTTTTGGTATACACAAAACGGGAAACAAAAGTTTTAATAGATATATAATATCGATTAGTGAGCCACACAATTTAACGTGACTGGCCGCGGGTTGGCCAGGCCTGATCTAGGGAGTGCAAAACAAAACGAGGCGTTTTGGATGCGATCTTCTGCTACCGACATTTGCTTAAGGAGAGAAAAAAGCGACAAATAAAATTCACGACTTTATTGCAAAAAAAACAAGATTTTCAGAAAAGTCAGTACCTCGTCACAAAAAAATAAACTTTACATTTCTGTATGCATATGTTTATGTGTTATTTAACAATCAATTAAATAAAGATGGAAAAGAAGCCACGTGATTGATTAACTCTGGTCACACTACTTTAAACCTAATTATTAAATTAGTCTTCTTATAGCCCAATAATTCAGCAGATCGTTTAGTTAATTTAATATTGGGTTTATGAATTTGTTTGTATAGTAATCAATGTATTTAATTTTATATTAATTAATTATTCAATATCTAATTTCAGTTGGGGGAGGATCGGCAGGTTGTGTTTTAGCAAATCGTCTTTCCAAAGATCCTGGTAATAAAGTATTAGTTTTGGAAGCTGGAAGTGACGAAAACGAATTAACAGACATCCCTATATACGGCACTGCTATACAAAAAACATCAGTCGATTGGGAATATGTGACGGAACCACAAGAAAATGCATGTTTAGGTTTAAAGGGAAATGTAAGTTATGCTTATATTAAATAATATCTTTTAAATACGATTAATAATTTTATTTATATTAAAAAATAAAATATATTCTTTTAAATTTTGTTTTAGATATGGATTATTTTTAAGAAANACAAAACTTTATGTGAAAAACACAAATATTTGTTTTATTTGGGTTTTAATTAATAAAAGAAACAAATAAATACAATTTTAAAGTGCATTTTTATTCAACAAATATGTTTATAAATAATATGTAGCCCAAAATGTAGTCATTGCGCCAAATGATATTTTTTACGTCAAACTAAAAAACGAGTAGCCAAATTTGGCGCAAAGTTGCCAAATTTTGCAACGCTGAAAGGAATATTAAATAATGCTGGAGTTGGTATTCAAAAGATTATAGACCTAAATTCGGAGAAAGGAAAAAGGTCAAAAAATAAAAACGTGAAAAGGTTAAATAGACCTTCTGTTATGCAAATATTGATCCTTAATTTTGCAACCTTTCTGAATTCTTTTTGTTTTTTTTTTGCCTTTCTCTTTTTTTTCCGAATTTGGGTCTATAGTCCTTTGAGTCAAGACTTCAGTTTTATTTAGTACTCCTTCCTCATTCACACATTTCAAGTATTTGAAAATATTTCCTTTCTATTAAAAAATAAAATATATTCTTTTAAATTTTGTTTTAGATATGGATTATTTTTAAGAAAGTTATCAATTTGTCATTAAAATTTAACAAACCATTTAAAAAAAAAACACATTGGCTAAAAACATACGTTTCGCCATGAAAATCATGTAATTCTCGTCTTTGTTTATGTGTAGCATTATTATTTTTGTGAAAAGAATTCAATTTTCTTTCAGATATCTGCTTACCAAAATGAATACGTATTGCAATTAGAAGAATATTCATATGGAATAATACTCTATTCATACATTTCGATTACTTTTTAAATTGAATAATATTACATTTCAAAAACATTTCATAATCAGCCCTAGAGAAACCATTAAGTAATCGCCATCCAATTCTACACTCCAGATGCACCTGTTAGAATTTTCACATGGCATGCTTAATGCATGGTTAACTGTTACGTTTATTGTTTTTCAACATCTAAAGACTAATAGATGTCAGATTAAAATTCACATTCTTGAGTTATGTTTTTATTTAACTGCAGCAATCTTTCTGGTGTGATGGGAGGCTTGTTGTTGGCAAAAGGATGACGTTTAGTTAATTTCATTTAAAACAAACATATAAACATTTTTTATATATTAATTTTCATAATTTTTAAAATAATAAAAATTTCAAAGTGCTTTTTATTTCTTTTCAAGCAATCCAGGTGGCCACGAGGCCTGGCTTTGGGTGGTTCCAGCGTTATAAATGGCATGATTTATATAAGAGGAAATCTAAAAGATTATGACCAATGGGCTGAAAATGGTGCAGAAGGATGGAGTGGGGAAGATGTTTTTCCTTATTTCCTTAAATCTGAAGACAATACGGATATTAACAACGTAGACAGTGGTTAGTATACGATATTTTTAAATATTTAAAATATAAAAAGGTCATAATTTTGATGCAAGAAAAACATTATTTCTGCCATTATCAATAATTTTAAGATGAATCGGCAATATTAAAAGTGAATTTTAAAACTTACTAGAATTTCGTATTGTTGTTGATGATGATACTTTATACTGCATTTTGTTTTCTGTAATATTAATTTTAGAAAATGTAAAATTAACTAAAATAACAAAAAATTCTTATAAACTATTTTTTAAAGTTAATCATTGATTTAGGAGACTAAAGTGGTATAAACATTGTTTCACGGATATTACAAAAAATTCATTTTTTCTATAGTAAAACATATGTATGAAAAACTAAATTACTTATAAATTCAGTATTTTAGAATGCATAAATACATCATTTTTGATGATACCTACAGTAAAAATAAACAATTCTATATTNATATTTTTAATTATTATAAAATAACAAAAGAATTTTGAGTGTAGAGATAAGTTTTATAAAATACTAAATGCTAACAAAAAGTAAAATCTTTAAGTCTGACCTTTCGGAGACATGACACGTGATCACCCTTTATCTCTTCATTCCCTTGAACACGTGTGCCGCAAACCGGAATTCGCCTTACGAATTTATTAAAAATGTACTTATGGAACAACTTAATCTGTGATTCAATTGTGACAATAATTTTGTTTTCATTAAGAAAAACATTTGGAATAAGTTATATCAAGATAATGATGGTTATAACCAATTAATTTTCTATCAGATTAAATACAAGATATATTGGACAGACAATGTTCTTGTGATGTCAAATGTGAAATTAATTTAACAGATTAGAAATTGTTCTTTCTAGACAGTTTAGTCTATTTCATCTACTATAAGTTTAAAACTGACCATCTCGACCGAATTTAAACATACACTTAGTCAGGTTTATTACATACCGGATAAAAACCTGAACGAACTTCTTTCACATGTTATTTCCTATATACTGAAAATGCATGCACTCTCAGCCAAATTTACCTTTTTGAGAATAAAAACGAAAGTAATGTACTACAAAAATATGCATGCAGAATGCACGAACAATTTAAACCTTTTTTAATATTGATCGTTAAACACAGATGGCCAGTTTCCTTCAATCACCTAACTAGTTTATATGATTTGTAAAATCTTATGTGAAAATTAATAAAAATAAGATTCTAAGAGAATATTTTTTATTATTCGTAGCATTAAATTTTTTAACGTTATGGTATTAATAGGCATTTTTGCTTAAAAAACTTGAACATTTTTGCTAGTTTTGATATTACATAATCAATTTATTTTTCTTGAAGGTTATCATAGTACTGGTGGCTATCAAACTGTTTCATCTGCACCATATGTTACTCCGTTAAGAACAGCATTTTTACAAGCTGGAGAAATGCTTGGATATCCCGTTAGAGATGTCAATGGAGCAAAACAAATAGGTTTGTCGTACTAATGAAATATGTAAATATTAACACAAATCGATTGTATTTGATTTAACTTCTATACAAATCCAGAATTCAAAGTATTGACTGTTTTGTATTTCAAAAGTGTAAATACCGTCCACCAATTTTAACACATATATTTTAAATTGATTAGGTTTTGCCCCTATACAATCATTTGCCAGAAATGGAAGAAGGTGCAGTACCAATAAAGCATTTATACAACCAATAGAGAAAAATCGTTCAAACTTAAGTATTTTGCTCTTTTCTTTCGTTACCAAGGTAAGTCCTTAATAACTTCTTGAATCGTGCACATACAATCAAATTAATTTCTTTATAATAAATATAATATTAAAGTGAATAATTTAATGTACAGTACATTAAATAATTTTTTTCACAGATCATATTCAACGATTCAAAAAGAGCGGTAGCTGTTAAATTCGATCGTTTCAGCAGGACATACATCGTAAAAGCAAGAAAAGAAATCATTGTTTCAGCGGGAACTATAAACACACCTCAGCTTTTAATGCTTTCGGGTATTGGTCCGAAAGAAGAGTTGGAAAAGTTTGAAGTATTAACCAAAACAAACAATCAGTTAAAAAATATTAACTGATTTATTAAAAAAGCGCATTAACATGAATAATTTATTGCTAGATTCCAGTTATTTCAAATCTTCCTGTTGGATCAAATCTTCAGGATCATATTTTTTCTCCAGCCGAATATTTAATTGACAAACCGGTGTCAATTGTGGGATACAGAGTTGCTAATCCTTTTGTCGCTGCTGAATATTTTGTTGCAGGAAGAGGTAAAAAGGTTTTAATTATTTCATTTATAAGAAATTTTAAACAATATATTAGGTTTGTTGTATTTAAAAATAAGGCCCGTGGACTCTATACATGGGAGTGGAAGCAGTTGCTTTCCTAAACACGAAATACGCGAATGCTTCCGAAGATTATCCTGATGTACAAATACACTTTGTTGCCGGCAGCACGATTTCTGATGGAGGCAATTTTTTAAGAGAAGATAATGGATATACGGATGAAGTAATACATATTTCATACGATAGATTTATTTATTTGTGAAATATATTATATCCATTCAAATTTTTCAGGTATGGACAAAATACTATGAACCATTTTTAAATAGAGACTCGTTTACTATGTTTCCTGTTTTAATACATCCGAAAAGTCGAGGTTATGTGAAATTGAGAAATACTGATCCTTATACGTATCCAATCATTCAACCGAATTATTTATCTCATACTGATGATATAGTAACACTTGTTAATGGTAAGCGTTTATAAATTATATTTTACGCTTTAAATTTAAAGTATAAGAGGATTTCCAATCAAAAAGTTGGTTGGAAATCCTCTTATACTTTGGTTGTCCCACTGTGTAAAGCAGCAGTGGGACAACCAAGGTCCGCAGGCCAACTCCGGTCCTCGAACAGATGTAATCCGGCATGTAAGCTGATAGATAAAATATTATGTTCTTAAAGGTTTTAATACATATTAAAATTTCAGTTAAAATTGTTACTTAATGTGTCTTCTCGTGATGAATAATAATTGTAAATGTACATAAATTTAATCAGTCGAGAATCTACTTGTAACTATTAAAATAATTAATCTTATCACTGCATTAATTTATGATGGATTTACTAAATTTAAAATGTAAAATATTCGGTTTCTAATGCAAGGTTATGTGTAAAGGTATTCTGTTATGGTGTTTGAATCCGTACTTTTTGACAAAAATATTTATTAATTACAAAATATAATAAAAATATAGTTTATTTTACATAATAAATATTAATTTTATGAATATTTATAAATATTCTCAGGAATGAGATACTTTATTACATTTTGTAGAGAAAAACAATTTGTCTTTAGTCTGCAATATACATTAATTTTATCATTAATAATTTTTATGGAATAAAAAGAACGGTGTTTCCTGTCCTCTAACAGAGTAGAACGAAGCGAAGTACTTGGTTTTTAAAGAATTATAAATAAAAATTGAAGTTTTTAAATAAATATAATGTTGTCAAGTAGTTAAAATAAACTTTTTCAACTATCTATATGTAACCTTTGCTATATTACAACGGTTAAATTTTCCGTTCTTCTCCTATTTCCTCTGTAGTAAACACAGTATACAGTATACAGGGTGGGCCATCGAAACGGCATAGTTATCGTGTTCGTCCAAGCAAATCGCTCGGACAGGTCGATTTTATTTTCAAGGGGGACATCTTCTGCAATAAAGTTTTTGCAATAATACAAAAGACAACAAGAAATTTTAAAAACTCATTCATTTTTTATTAACTAAACAAACACTTATTTTGGAAAAAAGTAACACAAACTATTAACAAACATAAAAAAAACCATTTAAGCTGGACCGCATATGCAAGGAAAAAAATATTCTCCCTTGAGAATAAAATCGACCTGTCCGAGCGATTTGCTTGGACGAACACGATAACTCTGCCGTTTCGTTTTCGATGGCCCACCCTGTATAATCGTATAATCGTAAATGTTTATTATACACCAAATTTTTATGTGTTATTTTTTAAACGAGTAATTTGTAATGTAATTAAAGATAACTTCAGATAATTTGCAGTTATAATAAATTATTGTTTATATTACTTAGGAACTGTAGTCAGTCACTTTTCGAGTAACAATTATTTTAATTGAGAAACATAGAATGTTCTTACTGGAATTTAGAATAAATTACATTATGAACACGTTCAAATAAATAAAATAACTGAATAAAAATAGATTGTATTGAATATATGATACTAAAATTTATTTTATTTATCAAACCATAGCTGTGAAAATAGTAAAAAAACTGACTGAATTACAACCGCTGAAAGACTTTGGTGCACGACCATTTCCAAATTTGCTACCCGGCTGCGAAAATTTTGAAAGAGAAAGCGATGCTTACCTTGAATGTATGATTCGAACTCTTACCATCACCATATATCATCCTGTTGGAACATGCAAGATGGGTGCAGTTAATGATCCAACAGCTGTAGTTGATCCACAGTTAAGGTTTGTATAATAAAAGTATTAATTACGCAAGAAATATGAGTAAATTAAGTTTAATAATAAGACTGTTTGTTACACAAAAAACTGATATAGTAGAGTCTCGAAAACTCGGCCTAATGTGGACCGAAGGGTGGCCGAGTTTGTGAAAATGCTGGGTTATCGGAAATGGGGTTAAAAAATAAGTACGAGTGTTTCCTCAGAAAATACTGTACTTTACTTGTATGTATTATTTACTCGAGAATACAACAGAGAATAAACTGCCCAAATACCCTTAAACAAAGGAAAAGTACGTCCTTTATGAAGGCATAGAGCCTTTGCTACATGAAAATGAAAATTAATGAATACACTGTGTACAGTAATTTACCTGATTAGACAGACCTCAGAAAAATACTTTATGAGAGCTTTTATACTTTTATAAAGCTGTCTCTAATGAAAATTAATTAACTAAGGATTTTTTGCCCTGCGAGGGTGTGGCCGAGTTATCCGGACTGCCGGGTTATCGAGTGCCGAGTTTTCGAGACTCTACTGTACTGTATTATAAAATTGTTCACTTATTTAATTATATTTAAAAACGCATGTAAAGTATTGGCCTTTTAGCAGAGAGGAAACAAAAGAAGCGCGACCTTTTCAATTGGACCCGTCTGCGGTCGAATAAAATACCACTTGTAATGTGTTGACTTGTAAATAGGGGAAAAACAAAGGAAGCGCAGACTTTGTCAATTGAACCCATGTATGGTCAGACGATAGACCATTTACCATATGGTAACCTACTAAACGTAAACAAGTGACGGACGTTAATGTAAGCTTGACTCCCCTAGGATGATGGCGGACCAGAGTGTAAGCTGTTCGGGCAAGAAAGAGTTGTGATTGGTCGGAAGTCCCCGTCCAAAAAACCCTTAAATTGCGGGATGAACGGGAGAGGGAGGAGAGAAGGGCAAGAGACTGGTACACGGTAGTCTCAGGCACTTGGGAAGCCCGCTGAATGTAGAGAGAGTGTTTTCCTCTGATAAACATCTTAACGACGGGTTAGTGCGGAGACTAGGCTGACTCTGCAGTTGAACCAACTCCACAAGCTGACTGAGGCCTCTCCAGAGTTTAATAGTTCCCGGGAGCTAATCCAATACGTGAGACACCACGCTTTGTTGTCCTGTATATATTATGTTGTCGAACTTGTACATTCTACGAATTTGTTTTGTAAATAAACTGTAAGTATTCGCCGAATTGATTGTGAAAGTGTACTTTCTGTCGAACCTGAATCAACTATCGGATCGTGATACACACGGAATCCAACTCAACGAGACAGAGTTTGGGAAAAAACTTCACAAGAACTTCACTACGCATATGAAATTTATGAATATCATAGCAATTAATAAATTTCTATTTGTTTATTTGCGCAGAATATATCTTCACTTTCAAGTATTAATTTTGTGAAAACGATACTATAATAAAATCACGTTTTTCTTTTTTCTCAGGGTGAAGGGCGTAACTGGTCTGCGGGTTGTGGATGCTTCTGTTATGCCAAATATCGTCTCTGGTAATACAAATGCTCCGACTATAATGATTGCAGAAAAAGCTTCGGATATGATATTGAAAAGCTATCAATTGTAGAATATAATAAAAAAAATTATTGAAATTCCAATTGTAAAGACCAGCACTGTTAGTTATTATTTCTTTTTTATTTGTTCTACTAGAAAGACCAGGAACCAATGCATGACTCGATGCAACAAATTTATTTATTTTATGAAATACATTTCGAGTGTTTTCTAATTTTCGTTACTCATCTGCATTAAAATTTAAAAAGTTACTCACTAATTTAATAAATTATTATAATGAATAACAATTGATTTAATGATAATAGATATAAATTTCGTGAAGTGTGAGAAGATATTTGCAAAATACTTTAAGAACATCGGTAAATCTTAAGTATATGCTTTCAATATTTATAAATTACTGAGTAAATTCTAAATTATTAATATCAATACATAGATGACTGAAGAAGTGTGTTAAAACACTCGACATGTATATAGTATAATAAAAACTTTAGATCTAATGTTGGCTTATGATCTTTCTTATAGAACACATAAAGAAATATTGATAATATGTAAGCATAATTTTTGTAAGTTGTCAATTAAATGTAAATTGTCAATTAAAACTTTTCAGAAATTAAACTTTTAAAAGTTATATTATCAATATATTGTAATAGAGATAATATAATTTAAATTATAAAATTTATATTTTATAAATTCTGAGTTATTATTCAAGTGCTATTTATAAAATTGTCATCCATTTATGTATATGGTGCTTAATGATAATGTAAATAAATTAGAACTAGCGATTGAAATATAAGAAGAATAAGTGGAAAAAATTCGTTAAAAAAAGGTCTTTCAAATCTACGGGTTTTCAAACATTTATGAATGATTTATTTAGTTATTTCAGTCTTATTTCATCATACATTAATTATAGGAACATATACTAACACAGGAAAGTATCGTAATCGTGTCAAATTCGAAATATGATTTTTTTGCAAATCTTCACATTTTGAAATCATTGAACCCAAAAAGAATCAACGTGATTACAATACCTTTTCCTATTACGTATAACAGCCGGAAAAGTAAAAGTATACTAGCTCTATGACGGCTTTTCCTTTTTCGCTAGACTTATTACACCATCAGTCAGAAAGAGGACAAACTTTAGAAAATCACATCTTTATTTCCCTGATTATGCATTTCGGACATTAAGTCCCTTTTCAACTCCATGTGATATAAATGCTTATGCGAAGTACAGGAAATTGCGACGATGGATACAATATGGATGATTATTGACTAACAGGTATTTGAACAAATACAACGGTCAAAAACAAAGGAGAAAAGACAAAAGCAAACGAACCGTTGTATTTGCTCAAATACCTGTTAATCAATAATCATCCATATTGTATCCATCGTCGCAATTTCCTGTACTTCGCATAAGCATTTATATCACATGGAGTTGAAAAGGGACTTAATGTCCGAAATGCATAATCAGGGAAATAAAGATGTGATTTTCTAAAGTTTGTCCTCTTTCTGACTGATGGTGTAATAAGTCTAGCGAAAAAGGAAAAGCCGTCATAGAGCTAGTATAATTGAACACAAGACTAGACAAGAAGCGTATTACAGAAAGTAAAAGTAGTTTCTTCATAATGTTAACAAAAGAAATTGATAAAATTCTATAATTGCCGGACAACGTTATTGCTGTTAAGAAAGATTTCATACAAATTCTTTCATACTGCAGTTAGTCGTTGTTCACCTCCATAATATTGCTAATAAACTTGCATTTTATATAATAATTACAACTAACAACATTAAAAAGTAATTTATTAGTCCATGTTACGCAATATAATTATATGCATATATATTAATCTAATTTGATTCATATTGTGTTCTTAACTTTACATATGTTGTAATATATATTTTTCTATACCCTGCAACACTCGTGAATAATAATTAAATTCAAACTGATAATGCTTACTTAACGCTTACAGATGTGTAATTAGTTTTAAGGAAGTTTTACAAAACTATTCCTATTTTTGTGTTAAACCGATAATGACAAATATCATTAAAATTGTCTGATTAAATAATTTAAAATTTAGAACTAAGGGCACTGTAACTATTTTATCTAATCTAATTTTAATTTATTCTTAACTTAGAGTTTTCAAATGCTAACTCTTCGAAAGATTTTATAAAATTTAAAATTATAAGAACTTATTACATATATGTATATTATAGTGTACAAATATAATGTAATATTATACATTACATTTCTACGTATTACATGTTACTGTGAATGACCGATATCTGGCGAATGTCAAAATTCTCCGGTGAATATTAGCATTCACACAGTCGTTTCTCTATATTATATTTTATTCAATATTGTAATATTTCTACGTAGAGCGTTTTAAGTAATGTAAATGACTTAATTATATGTTTTTTCTCGCATAATTATAAAAAAAATTGTATATATACTTTTTATAATGTTATTGCATATAAAATGGCACAAATAGCATACAAAAAATATTCAAATATAATATTTAATACTTACACATATTTTCTTAATTTATAACAAGTAAATTGTAAAATAAAACAACAAATTTTTGAAACATTTAATCAATATTCTATGTCGATAATTATTTCTGTTTTTTTTTTTAGTTTTTAATATTTTTATGTATTCTAAATAAATACATAAAAAAATTATCATTTAAAAAAATTCATTTAGGGGAGACCGGGGCAAGATCGGCATGTTAAGCTTTACTTAAATTTTGTGTAATAAATACTGCTGTAAACTGAAAAAAAAAGCTTTGCATATTGTCTATTGGAATGTTACCTTACTATAGAACTGGTTAAAATCAGTTTGGAAATAAAAATAATTAAAATAATTACAACTTTACAAGAAGAGAGAAATTGACGAAGTTGCCCCGGGTATAGGGGCAAGATCGGCAACTTCTCTCTTTTTGTAAAGTTGTAATTATTTTAATTATTTTTATTAAAGTTGCCCCTGGTATAGGGGCAACAGTAATGGGGCAAGATAGGCACGTATATAAAATTATGTTATTAACAATGTATAAGTTGGAATTCACTATTAAAACAAAGAAATACAAATCCAACACCCATTTAATATTATTACAACGAAATGCAAGTTCAAAGACATATATACATGAATAACAAATGCAAACATGTTTTCATTTATCATCTGTTTGATTTTTATCCTTTGCTTCTAATGTGGCTTTATGTTGCCGATCTTACCCCGCTAGTCATGATTTCGAAACATTAAGTACAACCCTGAGAACAGAATGCCAAGCCACGATCTGGCCACGTGAATAAGTTGAAGTTACATCCTTCTAACAGGAAAAGTAACTTTCGTTATCATGGAATTATAACAAAACCTGCCAATTCTATATAAATGGAAGTAAAATATTATAATGAATTGAACGAAAATGAAAATTTGCTTGATAATTCAACTACGCTTGTTGGAGAACAATAAGAACACTACACTCAACAAGCCACCAATAAAACTCAACTGCCTAACCTATAACCAAAGTCTCCTTTTAATTTGTTTTTGAAAAAAAGTGCTTGACAAACTTGCCCCGCATGCCGAAGTTGCCCCGGTCTCCCCTACTAATGTAATAAAAAATTTATATTTTTTCTATTGCGATTATTTAACATCATAACATATATTTCTTTGGTAAACATTGCATTTAGTGACAGGTGAGTTGAAACCAAAGACTTACATATTGGTTACATCATTATTTCAATTTGACACAAATCTGCTCGACGTCATGCTTTATGTAATTCCTAAAACTGCACGTTAAACGTCAGGATAGATGTTTTTTGTAAATTATTATTCGCATGATTAAATATAAACGATTTAGTAATGTTTGATTTATGTAGTGTAACAAACAGGAATCTTATTAAAAACCACTAAAAGAAGTGAAAACATTGTGACGAAAAATTGCAGCCCGGGTTGTAAGGATGTCACAATAAATAATCACTGCTTAAAATTAGTTTGGTTTATTTGGTTACAGCAACGCGATCTGCCGAGGAAAATGCCTCCCAGGAAGAATTTTAAGTACAGCTGGCCTCTAATTAGGTGTTAGTAACGTGAAGAAAACCCAAAAAACTGCACGTGGTCAGACCTCTGGTCACGCCCAACCCCTCAAGAAACGAACTATCGGTATTCGGTTGTTTTATCCATTCCCCTACCGGAGGGCACTTATTAGAATTAACAAAGTATCGTTCAGAAATAAAAAAATCCGAGTGATAAGTGCTATATGCTACTTGTCATAGTAACAAAGTGAATGTAATATACGTTTTTTTTTAATTACAGTAGACCCCTATAAAACGGGTTCCTATTATTACGATTCTTATAAGACAGCGAAAAAATTGCGACAGTATCCGTAAAAAACGGTAAAAAACTCCTATAATTACGAAAAACGTCATCGGGCAGCCGAACTACTTTCCGCGCCGTCAAGCGCTACGCTACGGAGAGATTACTATTGTCTGTACAGTATTATATATAAATTATATATAAATTAGGTACTGTACATATAATTATATATTAATTATATATAAATTAGGTATTGTATATATAATTATATATTAAGTATATATAATTATAGATTAACTTAATTTATTGTAACTTTATTATAATTATATATATATATTTTTTCCGCCGCCTGGCGCCACACTACGGAGAGTTTAGGCGAACTATCGTCTGTACAGTATGTAAATTAGGTACCGTAAGTCTAATACAGCACTGTATTTANTTTTTTTTTTTTTTTTTTTTTTTTTTTTTTTTTTTTTTTTTTTTTTTTTTTTTTTTTTTTTTTTTTTTTTTTTTTTTTTTTTTTTTTTTTTTTTTTTTTTTTTTTTTTTTTTTTTTTTTTTTTTTTTTTTTTTTTTTTTTTTTTTTTTTTTTTTTTTTTTTTTTTTTTTTTTTTTTTTTTTTTTTTTTTTTTTTTTTTTTTTTTTTTTTTTTTTTTTTTTTTTTTTTTTTTTTTTTTTTTTTTTTTTTTTTTTTTTTTTTTTTTTTTTTTTTTTTTTTTTTTTTTTTTTTTTTTTTTTTTTTTTTTTTT